CTTAAAGTGGCCAAGTTTGGACAACACTGATATAGAGAGTATATAAAATGAGAGGAGAGGAGAGGGATCCAAATTGGAAAAGAATACTCCAAGACAGGTGCAGCAACCCTATTCTTCAGGTGGTATCCCATGCTCTTCTTCCTTACTTCCTGCCATGCAGCAGCAGGCTGGGATGCAATGCAAGAAAGTAGCCAGTGAGAGGTGTAGCAAAGGTATCCTACAGAGGTGGAGGCCCCCATTAAGCCCCAGCAAGCCAGCAGGAAAACATCAGTCCTTGGCCTGATTTATGGTCATGTTCTGCAATTGTTTCCAGGTGGTCCCAAGCATCTACCTTGGAGACTAATGTGCAAGAGGAATGCTCTGTTCCTGCTGCCACCAACAACCCCCCAGGTGATTATGGAGTGATTTCCAGCCATGACCACCTTCTTCTGCCTGCTGCTAAGAACCCCAATTCTTCTTTCCCAATTCTCTACACTGTCTGCATCTCTTGAGCCATGAACATTTCTGGGCAGAGTCAAGCTGTACCAGACTGAACTGAAATGTGAGATGGGCCAAGCTGCCCAACATGGAGCATTTACCCATGAAATATAAGTACTGTGTTTTTAGCGAAGGCAAAGGAAGCTCTGTGGTTGGTTTGTAGTGGTTGGAAATAGGGCTTTTAATTAGAAGGTATATTCTGAATCCATGTTCCTGTAGTCTATTACAAATGTATAGATTTTTTTAAAAGAAAGCAGAAGAAACTGACATTGGAGGCTACCCTGCTCTTCCATCATCCTCTTTAGCATCTCTCTAGTAAAGTTTATAACCCAATTTTATCAGAATGGATCTAATTCATTTCATGATCTCTTAGTGGATTTTACTGTGCCTACTGGAAACATGCAATGTTCCATAATAATACTGAAATATCACAGTTGTGAAACATCCTCTGCTTTTTAGCACATGGAAGCCAGGATTGTCCACAAGTCTCATGTGAAAAGCAGTTGGGAGACTGGGAATAGCTGCTTTTGAGAGGAAATAATATCAGCAAGACTAGATGACACATCATTTGTGCTCTATGTGTAACCCAGTCATCACCTTAACAGGATCCCATGCCTCTGCATATCTGCCAATATTTATTTAATCACCAGATAATTAAGTATAGAGCATCCTTCAAAGATCAAGGATTAGGATAAGAAATAATTGACTGTTACTCAAGGTGTATGTTGAAGCATGTTTTAACAAGCAGCCTATTATCCAGCTTTAACATGGTGAGAGCTCCCACAGTGGTAACAAAATGTTTTGTATGATCCTCAAAGAAGAAAAATTGTCTGACAGTGGCCAAGCAGAAGAATGTTTCTCCTGAGATTACCTTGTAAACTCTGAAAGATTCAAAAAATATTTTTAACAGGCAACATTTCTTGTGGCGCATTTTCTTCCCCTAAAAGCTTTTAGCAGTACAAGAGTATTTAAGGAAAGTACTGTAATCCAAAATAGAAGCTCTTTACAGTACAACCTGAACATGTTTCTCAGGACAAAGTCCCCAGGTCTTAGAGCTCTCTCTTTGGTAGGAAGGCAACAAATCTTAATACGGATTCATGCAATCCTCTTAGAGGTAGCAGC